ACCACAATTTTGTTGTCTTCATGCGCATGCATGAAGCGCCCCAGCTTGCAAATATCATGCCAGATGTGGTTCTTAACGGACTTGTCACACGTCTTTCTCCGCACTCCTCACAGTGATGTATCCTCGCTATTATGCGCGTGCGAAGCCCTCCGACTCGCAGAGATGGATGCAGTGGGATCTTTGTGGGCTTGTTTCAGAGCAAGCTAGAGTGCGTCACTGAAAAAGAGCTGGTCAATGTTGAATGAGTGTGTGATCTGAGTCCGAAACGGAAACCGCAATGCAATATCACATATATGCCTGTGTCCTCATGATACACCTGAAATGGCGTGAGTCATTCCACATATGCAAAGAGATCCTCGATCCCCAGCACAGCACCATCAATACAATGAGGAACATTGAAGATTGTTTTCACACAAGCCACACGAAGCCTTACACATTAAAGTGAGTATCCTACATAATACAACCATAGATCACAACAACAAATCGGTCAAAGAATGGCCCAGCGGGAGCATACTAGCTGAGTTACAACCAAGTGCAACATCCTCGCGTACAAGAACTGTCAACATGTTCGCCAGAATGTGTTGAATCCTGGGCCTCTGGCGACTTCTGGAGATCCCACACGCACTCTAGAGGCTGTGGTGAGAAGCTGTATCGAATAGGGGACCAGGGATATACAAAGACGAACCTAGAGGCTGTGGTGAGAAGCTAAGGAAAGAGCCCACCCAGCCTCTGGTGAAAAATGCGGAGCAAACCCTAGTCTAGGAGCAGGGATCTGTGTAGACGCCTGAGTGGCCGCCTAAAGCGGCTGCTGCAGTGCCACAACGTAAAGTGGCGAGTATCTCGACAACTACTGGACGTATGTATACGAAACTTGGAGGGTACGTGCGTATAGTATGCATGTCCGTGTGTGTACAGTATGAGACCATATCACCGAATAGAAAATGACGAACAATGCGTGGAATTACCAACTTGAACAGAATGGCCTCTCAGAAGCGTTGACACAGCTGAGCACATGTTGTGTGCACAGTGTCAACTAGCAGTGTGCACAATGAGACTTCGCGTATCGCAGGAAGGTTGACCTCGAACTGCGCGTAGGCAGCAATGTGCAAGTGCTGATCAACAAGGTGAGCAGCAAGATACCGCTGGTGGGCGCCGTTACTGGAAGCTGCTTGCTGTAGAAACCAGTTGAGGTGGTGGATGAGATTGGGGGCATGGAACTGCTCCATGAGCTCCACAATGGAAGTGTTGGGGTAGGCAGGAGTCCTTGCAACGTGGTAACCTTGAGGGAAATCCAAGGGGTGCTCCTTTTCTGGCTTGGCTTTGTCGCGTGACACTTGATTGGCACTCTACAGCCCTTTACATATCTCTTGCGAACGCCGCACGCTGTGCCGAATTTGAGACGTCCCAATCGGGCACCTGTCGTGACACCGCATGACGCCATGCGTGCTCCGCTGCGCGTGCGCCGGCGCTTGTACTCTCCCGTACCTGACGCGCGTTGCGGTCACAGACGAAGCGAGCGCGAGAGCGCATAGTCGTGGCTTTGCTCCCCACACATACTATCCTCCATATGACACCAAATCAACATTGCATGACATGTCTCACTACTATCGGGCCCTCCTTAAGGCTCGAGAATGATCCGCTTTGGCCCCTCCAAGTGCAGCCTAGCCAGCCCGTGACCCAACTAGTCGGGCAGTCTCGAAGATCACGGCCGCGTTCACAAGTGAGTCTCCCCACCCGCTTCTCTCTCCTTCCACTGCCATGTCTGTTCCTACAAAAAGTACTCCCCCACTCTCTTCTATCATGTACCAACCCCCGCTTCTTGCAGGCGATAATAGGCAACGACATGCTCCTCGACGAGCTTCTTTGAGCTGGCTGTGTCGACCTGCTGACATTGGTATGTCATCCACCTCTATGTGCATTCATCCCGATACCCACCGCTGTCTGCGCGACTACAAGGGTGGCGTATACATGTCCAACGACTTCAACCTGTTCTGTGTCGAGTGCGGCATCAAGCGACAGCACTCGACGCGCAACAGGCCTCAACAGAACGGGGTCGCTGAGCGCACGAACCGCCTGCTCGCTGACGGCGTCACCACTATGCTGTCCGAGTCTGGGCTGCCCCAGACGTTCTGGGGCGAAGCCGTCCTCTCCCTCGTTCACGTGCTCAACCGTTCGTTCACCTCTGCATGTCCGGACGCGACGCCGTACGAGCTGTGGCATGGACGCAAGCCGGACGTATCGCACCTGCGCGTTTGGGGCTGCACTGCGTATGTGCACGTCCAGAAGGACAAACACAACGGTCTGTCTCCTCACATGGAGAAATGCGTCTTCATTGGCTATCCACAGGGCATCAAGGGCTGGAAATTCTACGATCCACTCAGCAAGCGCGTCACCATCAGTGAGCGTGCCGAGTTCGACGAGCGATACTTCCCTGGCCTCAAACAGTCATCCACTCGACCCACCCTCCCTGCCCCTCCTGTCGCTCCTCTGCTGCTGTGCGACGACTTCGACAACGCGCCTGAGCCTGTGCATCCTGTGCCGCATCAGGGGGGTGTTGTGCCGCCTCATCCGGAGCCTGCTGTTGATCCACCACAGGATGCGCAGGAGCCTGAGATCGAGGTCGATTTGCACAACGCTCCACCTGCTGGCCCTGCGCCGCGCGAGGACTCTGTGCCGCCTATCGCGCCTGTCGCACCTGGCCCTGCACAGCGCAAACGCGCTCCAAAGGGAGCTGCTCCCACTTGCACAAGCTCACGCGTCTCGCGCCCACCTCAGCCATACTGGATCGTCCCTCGCAGCGAACGCGCGACCCCTACGCCTACCTCCTCTCCATCTCCTACTCCGGCGTCGTCTCCAGAGCCGCATCCATCGCGCGAGTCTACGCCAGGCTTGTGGGATGCGCGCGAACCGTCTCCTGTGGTCCCCGACCCGGACGAAGACGAGTACGACTTCGAGAACGACTACACAGTCACGTATGTGTTCGAGCAGCCTGAGGAAGAGGAGACCGCCGAGGAGTTCTGCGTTTCAGCCCACGCATCCGATCCCACGACCTATGCCGACGCGACATCGCGTCCTGACGCTGCGCAGTGGATGGACGCCATGCGCGAGGAGCTCCAGGCTCACCACGTCAATGGCACCTGGAACCTCGCACAGCTGCCCAAGGGGAAACGCGCCATCGACTGCAAGTGGGTCTTCCGTGTCAAGCGCAATGCTGACGGCTCTATCGAACGCTACAAGGCGCGGCTCGTCGCGAAGGGCTTCTCTCAGCGTCCTGGGTTCGAGTACGACGAAACCTACGCCCCCACACCGCGTTTCGCTACATTGCGACTCCTGCTCGCCCACGCTGCGCTCGAGGACATGCACATCCACTCCATTGATATCTCGCACGCATTCATCAATGGTGATCTCGAGGAGGAGATCTACATGAAGCAGCCTCCTGGGTTCCGTGAGGGCGAGTGGAGCGACGTGCTACGCCTCGTCAAGTCGTTGTACGGTCTCAAGCAGAGCGCACAGGTCTGGAACAAGACGGTCGATGCTGCGCTCCTTGCGCTGGGCTTTATAGGTGTTCGTGCAGATACCTCATTCTACGTCTACGAGCGCGACGGCGTCACGATCTACCTGCCCATCTATATCGACTATATCACCCTCGTTTCGCGCTCACAGGCAGCCATCGACCGCGTCATCCACGACCTTGAAGCACACTTCAAGCTGCGCAATCTCGGTCCTACAACGTTCCTTCTGGGCATGCAGATCCTTCGCGATCGCCCCAACCGCGTCCTGCAGCTCTCTCAGCGGCAGTACATCCTCGATATCCTCGAGGAGTACGGCATGTCCACCTGCAACCCTGTGTGCACTCCCATGGATCCTGGTGTTCATCTCAGCACGTCTATGTCGCCCCAGACTGACGAGGAGCGCGAGGAGATGCGAGGTGTCAAGTACCTTTCTGCAGTGGGTTCTCTCATGTACCTTGCGCAGTGCACGCGTCCGGACATCGCCTACACCGTCGGCGTCCTCGCACGGTTCTCCTCGAACCCAGGGCCTCAGCACTGGAAGGCGGTCAAGCACCTTCTTCGCTACTTGCGCCACACTGTCGATCTCAAGCTCACCTACCGCCCTGACCCCTTTGTGACCTCGCGCTTCACGACGTACACCGACGCGGACCACGGCGGCGACAAGGACACTGGCAGGTCGACTGGAGCGTACCTGGTCGTGCGAGGCTCTGGCACGATCTCTTGGAGCAGCAAGCTGCAGCCCCTCGTCACGCTGTCGACCACAGAGGCCGAGTTCGTGTCCGCTGTGGATGCGAGCAAGGAGATCTGCTGGGTGCGCAACATGCACGAGGAGATGCGCATGCCGTTGGACACCGCTTCGCCTCTGTGCAGCGACAGCATGAAGCATCTCGACTTGCGCTTCTTCTGGCTGCGCAACAAGGTCAATGATGGCGTCATTGCGCCGTCGCATCTGCGCACAGACGAGATGCCTGCAGACCTGCTCACCAAGGCGTTGGCCGTGGCTAAGGTGGAGCAGTTCCGTCGCATGATGGGCTTGCTGTGAGCTGGGCGCATTTGCGCTTCAGAGCGCTGCAGATGCGTCCAATTAGGGGGGTCTGTTGAAGTTGGTAATTCCACGCATTGTTCGTCATTTTCTATTTGGTGATATCGTCTCATACTCTACACAGACGGATATGCATACTATACGTACGTACCCTCCAAGTTTAGTGTTCATACGTCCAGTAGTTCTCGACATCCTCGCTACTTTACGTTGTGGCACTGCAGCAGCCGCTTTAGGCAGCTGCTCAGGCGTCTACGCAGATCCGTGCTCCTAGACTAGGGTTTGGTCTTTTTCACCAGAGGCTGGGTGGGCTCTTTCCTTAGCTTGTCACCACAGCCTCTAGGTTCGTCTTTGTATATCCCTGGTCCCCTATTCGATACAGCTTCTCACCACAGCCTCTAGAGTGCGTGTGGGATCTCCAGAAGTCGCCAGAGGCCCAGGATTCAACAGAAGCACCCCAGTTTGTTGGTGGGCAGATAGCCGAGGAGAACGGTGACATGGGAGCTAGGTTGGCACCGCTCATCGTTGTCGATATTCCCTATTGATAGGTAGACTGGCCAGCCTGACTTATTGCCACTCATCTGCGAGAGAGTAGTGTTGTCTGAGGAGATGATGACAGGGGCAATCGTTGCACCGTTGGGGAGACGGGTCTAGTGTACTGGTAAGCCATCCTGTGCAGTGTGGGGGCATGCCGATTGCTCACCTGTGTGTTCCACCACTAGATCGTCGTCTCCATGCCCACATACACCCGTCTCTTTCCCTCTGAATTGGCGTACAACCACTTTGGTGCGAAGTCTATATGGTTTTTGAAGAGTGGACTGCCAATTAACTCCTGGATGCAGTCCACAACGTTTCGTTTCCAGAGCACCACTGTCTCTTGGAGTAGGCCGCCCTCATCCTCAACGTCGTCCCCCGTCAGCTCAAAGGCCTCCACGTCCCAGCTCGCTAAGCCTCAAGGCAAGGCGTAAATTAATTGGAAGGACTTGTAGCTGCTGGTGAACGACAGCTTTGTACGGTTTCTTGTCTGACAACACTACGATCAGTGCGTGAAGTGAAGAAAGGTATGTGACATTGCGTACAATTTGGAGCTTGAGGTACTCATCAATAGCTCCCTGACTTAACCCAGGCATCAAATGCCACTGCGCAAGATCCCATTCCTCCAACGACTGAAACGGGGCCCATGGTCAGAGCTGTCCAAGAGGATTGGCAGCAAGCCACTCCTTTCGGTAGGCCTTGAACATCGTCTCTCCCCGTGGTAGTGGGGCGTGAACGTAGCCTCACCAAGGTGTTTGGAGCATCTCCGATCAGTACCAGTCACTGCTCAGTTGTCATGGGGCGTGAACGTAGCCTTACTAGGGTGTTCGGCATCAGGAAAACCTCACTGAGCTAGATAGCACTAGGCATTCTAGAGCTGGCACTATCGGCTCAACTAATCCTACTAGCCCACTGTAAGCAACTAAACATACTATTTCGCTACTATTGTTTCCCTAACATCACTATCTGACTAGTCGTTTTGCTGTCATCACTAGTATATTCTATTTGTGCAGGGTCTCAACTACTGTGTGCTATCACCCATGCTATCTAGCCTAGTCCAGGTCTGTTCCGGTGTGCTATTCAGTCTAGGGGCATCACATCCACATACCCTATACCTTGTACTCCTCGCACTCATCCAGGTCTGCACACCATGGAATTGAACCTATGGTGTGGCCATTCTCAGTGACACTCTCATCACCCTTGACACTGAGATCCTCTGACGCCCACAATTCTCACGGCGTCCTCCGTGGTGAGCTCTGCGAGTGCCTTAGTTAGGCAGCGTGAGCACTCGCATTTGAACCTCAACCCCTGGACGAGCTCAATGTGACAAGTGACACCTACGGACTCGTCGGCAGAGCGCTGGACATCAACCTAGACGATTGTGAGCAAGCTCAGTCGAGCAAAGACTGCGGCAGCACGTGGAAGGGCCGGCATCAAGCTGGCGCAAGGTGTCATGCAGTGTAATCAGACGGTATATACGACGACGCCACCGACGATGCCAACAAGTGCCGAATGAGCGCGGGGCAGAGCGCGGCGGCGCGGGAGAGCGTACTGGCGGTTGAATGCCTCGTGCTGGAGAGCGCGTGGGGAGTTGTCGTAGTGGTAGTTGAGCCCCATTTCGCCCCAGCCGACGCAGCGCGGATGAGCCATCGCTTCTAGACTGAAGAGCACCGGTGTGGTGAGCGAACTTGCGTGAAGCGGCATGTGCGGGTGCGTCCTCACGACCCGGCGTGTTTCCTCCGGTTCCGGGGGCGAGTGGACTCGGCGGAGAGGGAGCGAGGGCTGGGAGGAGTGACGAGACTGCCACTGGATTGGGGTTTCGCATTGTCGTCCATATACTTCTGCTGTGGTTGCGCCTGAAAGGATGCCAGGGACATCTGACCGTTCTCAACCTCCGTCGCAGCGATGGAAACCGTCTCCTCGGCCGCGCGCATCCGGCTCTCCCACTCGTCCCTGGCTTGCCGGAGGTGCTCCCGCTCCTCCGTCCAGTCCTTGTGCACGCTGCTCCACTTGCCCTCGACGTTCTTCTTCCACTCCACGAACATCGAGGTGAGCAACTCGCGTTCCTCTTTCCTCGCCTCCTCGACCGCGGCAACGGGGACGGTGGGTTCTTGCGGCGCAGCACGGGCGGACTCGGATGCTTGGACGAGCTGCTTAGTGGCCTCGAGGTCCCTTGCGGACGGGACCAGCGACGCGTTGCATGACCCTGTCGTCGTCGGGCTTCCCGCCGCACGCGGGGATCGCGGAGCTCGCGACGCTCGCCCTCCACGCTCCGCTTGTCGGTTTTCGGAGCGCGAGCTTCCGCTTTCTCATGGCGGACAAAAATGCAAAGAATGGTTGCACGATGGGACCAGGGCCGGACGTTGCGGCGATATTGGGAACAGGCGCTGTTGAGTTCCTGGCAAGTGTGTTGCCCCATTTTGTGCGGGCGACGAAGGTGGAGGCAGAGATCGTCGGCGAGGGCGAGTGCTGTGTCTAACAGAGTCGAAGAATAGATTTGGGAGGAGACTGAACCTGTGTTTGCGTGTCTTGGACGAGATTCTCGAGTGACGCGACCTTGGACTCGAGGACGGAGATCGTAGACTGGGTGGTAGCGTGCTGGGCTTCAAGCAAACGCGCGAGCTCGGGCGCCATCTCGAGCTGTTTGGCGAGCGAGTTGAGACGGTCAGTGAGCTCGTCCGGGATGGCGGGTGCGGACGCTGGGGAAGAGGGCGGGGTTGGGTGGAGGGTGGTGGAGGGTTGCCGGAACGAGTTGAGCTCCTGCTCTTCATTGTCCTCAGTCATGCCCATGCCGGTCGGCTTGGGTGTCCGCGCGCGGCCGAGCTTGTCATGACTCCTCGGCCGCGGATGCCGGGCTGGTTGGGGCACGGACTAGCCCTTCGTCCGATGTCGCTTTCCTTGCTCGAGGGAGGGTGGAGGTGGCGCCAACTGAAACCACGGGCAAAGTGGACGTGTGGGCGAGGCAGGTGGAGGGACAAGCGCAATTGAGAGCAGGAGCACGGCGAGCCCGATGAACATTGACGGGTGGTAGTCCGGGCCTCACTCCGACTTCAGATGAACGAGGTGATCCTGGACACACCCATGCATCAATGCGGTGTTCGAGCGAGGAAGACGGACGAATGTACGTACAATTTGCGGGATGGTTGGGGCGTGACAAGTTCGCGACCAGCTGTCTGTTTCGGTTGACGTTGAGTATCGTCGCCATCAGTGGGCGGCATGGGACTGGGGCTGGCTTTGTCGTCTTTGTCGTTGCCAGGCTCGTCTCACACTTGGGCGTGGCACAGAGCAAGTCGCTGAACAAGTACCTGTCGGCACTGCACTGTGGCCTGGCGGGCGGTATGAACGACCTTCGGAAAAGCTTTCTCGCAGCATAGGTAGTTCTGTGAAGCTTACTGGGGTCAGTATGTATCGTCCAAGTAATTAGAAGCTCCCGGAAAGAATGGGGCAGGTGGCGGGCCTGCGCTGAGCCCCGTGGTCCGAAGAAACCAGCACCGCGACATGAGACGTCTGGAGGACGTCAGGCGTCATCGGTGCCAGCCCTTGGATCGAGTACTGGACCGCTCCAAGCCACGTATCCTGCAGAGCACAGCGTCGCGGCATGGGACGTCTGGAGGACGTCAAGCGCCAGCAACGCCAGTCGCTAGATCAAGGCAGATGTGTGGTCGTAATCCACAGAGCGGGGGGTGTGCGGTAGAGCGCAGAGATAGAAGTCAAACACTCACCCGTGTGTCCTCCTTCATAGCTGCCCATGTTTCGAGCGTATGTTGGAAGGTGTACTGTCTCACGCGGTCAGGTCGTGACTTGTAGATCTGGAGTCCGGAGTCCGTCGCCGAAGTGTATCGTGGCAAGTAGTATGAGAGGGATCAGGAGCAGGAGGGGTGTGTTTGTCTGAGCTCTGAGGGTTGAGGGATGGTTGAGAAGTGCTGTGGGGATGCAGTAGATGGAGGGAGGGTTGTGGCAAACGGTGAGATGCAGCGGCACTTCTCAGGTCAGTGCGCGCGTCGCGGCCGTTACATCCACATCATGCCGCACTTGGCCCACACCTGCACCTCCTCTCTTTACTCTATCTCCCTTCCTTCGTGCTCCTCTCTCTAACTTCCCCGTTCTCGCGCACTTCCTCGCCACCACACTGTCTCGCGACTTTGCATGTCAAACCGCCCTCCCTTACATACATTCACCCCTTAGGTCCCGTCGTTACTGTGCTGCGCATCGAGTACGATCATTCGTCCATGCATATAGTAGAAGCTACACAAAGTTCATGTACATATTCTGATCACTAAAGGGACTCACAAAGAACGTGTCACACAAATCTAAACATGTGCTACTTGTCCATTCACGGGGTGCCGCAGCACCGAAAGCAGGGAACAGATGACAGCTACGACGAATCTTCGAAACCTCGACCACGCTTGCAAGGCGATCGCTTCCAGCGTTCCAATGGGTTTTAACCTTATACATGCCGTGGATGTTGTCCGGTTGAGTGAACCCCGTGTACCATTCAATGTAGGTGAGATGTTGTGGAGGCATGATTCCGGGGAAAAGGTCTCTGTTTACAGCTTTTGGTATGGCGAAAACAAGCCACAGACGACCTGCCCTGTAACCTGATAGATGGCCACTGGCTCTGAGTGTGATGCTCTAGACATAGAAGAGCACATCTACTCACCTTGGACGCCCGCTTCGTCACCGCCATCTTCGACGAGTACGGTGTCGAATCGACCAGGCACTACCCTACCGCGCTTATCTTGTCTCTGAGGCCGAGCGTGGATCACGTCTTGTACAGCCTCCATGACACCGATGCCCTGTGCATCTTTGAGAACGAGTTTGATCTTGTGGTAGGCAGGGAACTTGTTGAAAGGTAGATGGATGCGTAGCGCTTCTTGGTTGATATCTACACCGAAGAGCGTCTTCGAGAAGAGTGAGGGTATCCGATGTATGTGCTGGGTACTGGGCCACATACACGAAATCCAGCAGAGCGCGCACAGCAGCAACAAGTCGCACCGAAGAGAACCCGCCTGGAAGGGGAATGCCTATAATAAGTCCAAGGAGAAAACAACACATCGCCACGTGTTCCTTGCCCATAACTCGCTGCAGGGTGGAAATACCCTTCATGAAGAGTCGAATATGGTGGTTGGGTGGGAAGCGACGACAATGTGCGTCGATCTCATCGGCTCCGTAAGCGCTAATAATCCAAGATATGACGTGCTTGACTACTCCTTGGTGAAGCTGGTGCAAGATGTCTGGGGTGATAGATCGGAAGATGTTGACGAAGGGGAGGTGAAGCCAGTATGGATGGGTGACAGGTTTGATTCTTGCATTGCGACATGCGCTACCGAACTCCGCTGCGGTCCCCGTGTCAGCGACCGACAGGGCCTCGAGGACTTCGGGGAGATTACGCAACGGACGGTTGGGGTCTGTTGAGGCACCAATATTGTTCCAATCGATAGCGCATTTCGGACAATCGCCACTCTTGCAGCAGCTGGTGAGAAGTTGTTCCGGATAGTCGCCTGCATGGACGGCCAAGATCGGATGTCCGCGGCGCATGATCCCGTCTCCGCTCGCCATGTTGACGCCATCAATGCCAGCCGTGCGAAGAGGCTTCAATACTTGAGCCATACATGCGTGGTAGAGGTTGGCGTTCATGCGTCGGCGGGAGGCCTTGTTAGTGACGTGTTCCAGGCGAGTTGAAGGGAGATAGGCCAACAAAATTTGTCCGCGACGAGAAGGCTTGCGACGGATATGCTTGGGAAGGTTGCCGATAGTTAGGTACACGGGATAGGCAGTCTTGTTTCCGAACACGGTAAGTTGGGTCTTGTCGGATGAGATGATGATCGGGATGATGGTACCCCCTGCTTTCACCCGATCCAGAGCTTCCTACGCATCAAAGACATATTGGTCAGGATGACTGGAGGATCAAGAACAAGGAAAACATACCTGCGTCGCCCACCACCACTTCCCAGTATGCATGTCGAAATAGACCCGAATTGTATGGTCTGCATCTGCATAGTGACGTTCCGGGGCAAATACGAGCAAGCCCGAGAACTCGGGGTCGCCGTAGAGCGCTCGGATGCACTCAATGACGTCGCGATAGAAGAACTCGAAGACCTGGTCGCCGATGAGGACTTCCTGACGAATGAAGCGAGGTCGCGGAGAGGGAAGCTGTTCGTCGATAATCTTGTTTAGTTCCCGAGAATTCCGGAATGAAAGCCCAAGTGTAGATGCGAGCTGTGCATGTCGTTTCATTTAGTAGAGTCCAATGAGAAATATTACTGGAATTAACGCACCCCATCGATCTGCAAGAGCTCTGATACAGCAGTGGAACTTGGGCCCCACATCTTCGCCCACATCGCCACCGCACAGTCAATGAATGAAACGAACGGAGCGTATGGGTTCTGCTCGTCATCGTCTTCAAACGCGTCTTGTGTAACTTCGTAGCTTGACCGTTGGCGTTGTTGATGGACTGGAGTGCCAGCCAGAGAGTCGGGGGGAGAAGAAACAATATGGGTCGTAGTTTTGAGAGAATCTCGTGCCGTTCGTTGCACTTGCCAGTCCGCTTGACGACTTGTGACATCTTCAGACGAGTCAGAATTGAACCCATCGTCGCTGTGTTCGCCTCCGCCATTGTGCTGATCCTGAACAGGTGGAGGATGCTCCCACCGACGTTCGGCTTTGAAGTTCTCTGCATCTTCGTCGTCGAGGTTGTCGTCAAGGTCGTCAATGAGCTCAGGGAGTTGGAGAACGTCATCCAGGACAATCGGATCCCCCGATTCACTGCTCCTATAGTTGTCCCAGTCGTAGTCATCGTAGTCGCCGTATAGATCGCCTTGAAATTGCTGGGGAAGTTCCGGTGGGTTGTCGTTGCTGATCTCCGAGTCGGACTCAAACTGCTGTTGGCGAAGTGCCTTACCGACAGCTCGACGTGTGTATTTCAAGTGCTTCGTGTATGCACTGGGTTTGAATAACCTCCCGCAGCTGGTGCAGCGGTGCTTGGGTGCTGGTGCGAGTGACATGAATGCGAGTTCAGATGGGGCACTGGGAGGGTTGGAACTTGGCGGAGACGTGACCCTTGAATTACCGGAGGACGTCGGAGCGGGCAGAGAGTCCAAGGAGATCGGAACAGGGTCGACGCCTATATGCAGTGAAAGAGCGAACTTAAGGAGGACTGGACATCGTGTGGATGAAGATGGATCGTAGAGTTGTGGGCAGCCGGCGCAAGCTGAGACAAAATGCGGAGATCAGTGTCACATGCAACTCCGCTAGGGCGTGCCTAAGTCCTCACCTGAAGCAAGCGACCGCAATTTGAGTCACCAGCTCACACTTTAACCCTTCACCATATCTTACGCTTCCTTTCATTTTCTGCAACACCCCTCATTTCCCATCCTCTTTCTCCAGTCTAGCACGTTCTCGTCCGTCTCCAGAGACGTTTCGAAGTTCTGCTGTGGACTCAGACATGGCTCGATCAACGCAGCAAGCTGTCGAGTCAGAATTGAACTCACCAAGGCGTCGTGAGGAATCTGTGTTGCTCTTATCTTTGCACTGGTATTGACGATGGTGTGTCATTGAAGCTTCGACTCGCAACGCCAAAACCAGAGTCCTTGATAAACCTCGTAAGCACATCCATATACCAAAATACCGCATTCACTCAGTCTGATAAACAAGCAAGCATGGGCAGAACTTGTTCCGAAACAGCGGAATAAGACGTCACAGGCGAAGGGCGGGTCAACGAAGGCAACACAGTCTAGTAGTGAGTACATACCCATCTATAAGCTTCGCAACGCAGACCTGTGGTTCCTCGCGGCATCACCTTTCGAAGGTGGTTCATCTGTGAAGCAAGTAAGTGAGTCGAGCAAGCACAGGCTGAAGCAAGTCCAATATAACGCACCCGATATCGATGTGGATGTGCCGAGCGACAATGAAGCCTGTATGTGCGTCGCAAGAGTGGAACGCAGCAAGGCACACACACTACTGCAGGTGCGAGGATTTTGTGATTCTCAGTGCTTCAGGGGATCTAACAATGACGAAAATTCAGCTGCGCCCAGAACAGGCAGAGTGCTGAAGGTTCCCGACCCTGGAGTCGCCGATGCGGACACTGACCGCGACTCAGATGAGTCCGCTGAAGAGAGCTCCGGTGATGGCAAGGGTAGCTCGAGGAAGACAAGGCAGAAGAGTATCGGGTCGGAGGATGAAGGTAGTAGCGGGACTACAGAGAGCAGCGAGGAAGAGGACGGGCACAGAGGCTATGATGACAATGTTCGGTCCAAGGAGGTGAGCGCTGTGCGCTAGCTAGACTTGACCTGTCCCACATCATCTAACTCTTCCGTTCCTCCCTCACGTTAACGCCGTCCATATCCAATGCTCCCACTATCTAGGCCGCCACAATCCTCGGCCGCGTTGACAATACAGACCGCATTGGATCACCAACTAGCCTTCAATCCTCGCCCAACCGTTCCCAAGCCTATAGTCGACAGCTCGTTCAGCCTCAAGAGAATGCAGTGGACGAGATGTCAGTAGGGGATTCTCAGGTATGTATTCAAGTTCATTCTATTGCGCCATGCCCATTCTACAAATGCTTGTAGAAATCCACCAATGCGCCCCCCAAGTCTAGTCCGTGCCACATGTCGGATGACGATGACCAGTACCAGCAGCCACGCCGCCGCAAGTCCCCGCACATGAACGATGATGACGACGACGACGACGACGACTGGCAACTGCCCCGCCAGTACCTGAGCATGGACGATGACAATGATGACAACGACGAGCAGCCGCCCCACAAGGAGTCTGCACGCACATCGGACATTGTCGACAATCACGAGCGCCGCCGCAAGCTCTCGTGCACGAATAACAAGCGGCGCAAACAACCACGCCACGACACCATGGTATCCAGCGACGACGATGAGCGGCCGCCCTGTAAGTCCGCACGCACAGACATTGTCGACAGTCACGAGCGCCGCTGCAAGCCCTCGCGCGCGGATAACAAGCAGCGCAAGCAACCACGCCAGGACGCCACGGCATCCAGTGACAACGACAAGCGGCCGCCCCGTAAGTCCGCACGCACAAACAATGGCGACAGCGAGCGCCGCCGCGGGTCCTCGCGCACAGACAACAAACGTCGCAAGCAACCATACCGCAACGCCGCATCTAGCAATGAAGACGAGCAGCCACACCGCGAGTCCCCCGGTGATGACGATAACGAAGAGCGGCATGTCAAGTCACCACCTAGGAGCTCTGTCAAGCGTCACTCAAGAGCTAACGAGGTACGGCAAGTTCACGTTCCTTGTCAGTACGCTCAGCATAGTTTTTACAGGAGCCTCTGTTCGTGGATTTGTCGGACAACGGAGAGCCTGTCCCAAAGAAGCGCAAGACTCGCAAACGAGACTCGGTGCAGTCAGCTAACTTCTTGACCTGAGTTGTCACTGATTCCGTTGTATTCAAGACGAAATCTTCTAAACGTAACAAACTTCGTGAAGATGATAGTAGCCAAAGCCTCGACATCGTTGGCACGCATCTTGCCAAGCTACCACTCACCAAACAACCTCCCCGGTTGAGACAACTTCTCGACGCTGCAAATAAGGAGGCCCTCAAGTTCATCCTCTTTACGAACACGTTCCCTGCCGGACCTGAGAAGAACGGCATCATCATTCACCAAATTCTCATCAAATGTGCTGAATCGCTCGACGACACCCAACTTGCGAAGATGATCAAGCGCGATATGGAGTATTCGGATCACCTCGTCTCCGTAGTGAGTGGTTGTGGTATGCTGTAATTCGAAATGACTGATCTTCCGCGCTAGCCGTCACAGCGAATCTCTCTCTTACGCAAGGACGTCAAGGAGGCGGCGCAAGCTCACGATGTCGGAGTGGTCTTTGGCGTCAAGGCGGAGGATATCATCAAGATTCTCTGGTTGCAGGCGGAAGACAGATTCGTCTATCCGTGCGATTTTGAGGTAAGCTTCTCCAACCACGTCTTGATTCCATCTAACACTCGACCAGAATGACCACGTTAGCAGCAAATTGTTCACCAATCCGCTCTGGGCGAGCCTGCTCCGCATATGCTTCTTCCAGAAGTCACGTCTTCTCGGTAACGTCTTCAACAATCTCATGTCCTCGTCGCTCCCAAGCAAGCCAGACGAGAAAGAAATCCCTGCTCCGATGCTCGCATTGATTGCAACCGCGGTATGAGATGTGCGCTGCTGTATGACATTCTACTGAGTCGTTTATATTAGGTGTACTATGCTCTTGACGACTTGCGACTCTCCGAGAGCCCCAATTTCTCCACTGACAGCTACGCATGCAAGTATAGAGACATTATCGGCATCCTCTCTGATCTGCGAGATGAAGGCCCGAATCAGTATCACACCCTCATGCATCGTTTGTATAACAAAGCGCAGAGGTATTGTGTACCAGTGTCATAACATGCGACATCCATTGGCTGATCCGAGTTTTTTATGCTTGCAGCTCACGGCCAACAGCGTCTTCTAGTGCAAAGACGGGCCCTTCTCGACGCAACAAGTTCCTGAACATTGCCGCCATGGATGTCTAGAAGACTCTTCGTACCCGCGCCATACCCTTACTCACACAAGTTAGTAATCTGATTTCTGTCTCTACGACCACGTCATGATACGAACTCTGGCATGTCCATATGCACTCTTCCATGATCATATGTCATTCGCAGCATAGCTGCAACGTCGTATACGTTCGTTTAAACGTCGCTCACTAGTATTTACTTTGGCATACACCTAGGGTACAGTCTATTTGGTTCTAATACACCTAATGTCTTCGCTGTATTGGTCTTCTTGTGTGCCGCTATCCACCACTACTTCGACTAATTATGATCTAAGACAAATCTAAGAACTTTGTGCCATGGAAAGTATGTGTCTAATCATGCACTATACCTATGGCTAGGTGCTCTAGATATACGTCTAGTATGCAGCCAGGCTGTCTAGTGAGATAAATAGTTTCGGGGGTAGATAATTAGTGCTAGTGATCTAGTGATCTCTAGTGAGCTATTTAGCACTAAATAGAATCTCCTAGTGCTATTTAGCTCAGTGGGGTTTTCCTGATGGGAACATCTCCGATCAGTACCAGTCATAGCGAAGAGGTCATGGGGCATGAACGTAGCCTCACCAGGGTGTTCAGAGCATCCCCGATCAGTACCAGTCACTGCTCAGAGGTTGTGGGGCGTGAACGTAGCCTCACCAAGGTGTTCGGAACATCCCTGATCAGGACCAGTCACTTGGTAGGAGTGGGCCATTACTGGCAGAAAATGATTAATGAGATATGGGATATAATGAGAAGATATGAGAGACCTTAATAAGCTATATTAAACACCACCACTATCATCATAGGCAAACAAAAACATAATATATAGCAGAAGTGTAAACAGTGTGAAAGCTAGTACTAAAGTGCTTACTATGCAGATAAAATCCAATATAGTACCACACACTGTGTTATAGCTGCCCTTCTGGATATCGTCAAGATTTTAGGTGCTGTATTTGATTTTGCATAGACAGAGTATGCACTATCATTCTACATTGCAAGAACACTTGAAGGGGGGACTAGGGTCAATAAAGGGGTTGCAATCATATAGGCCTTCTACATAGCTTTCTGATGCATATACAATCACCCTGAACAGATAAGAACTGAGGTCACATGAGCTCTCTAAAGGTAGTAGGCACCAGTGATAGTATCTACACTGTCCCTTATCTAATGTGTTTAAAGCCAAGCTGTAAGCATATTAGTGATACACTCTGTAGTAGCTGCTTTCATGAATATAATCGGGGTTTTAGGCAATTGATTGGATTTTACAAAGCCTGAATACCCATTGTTACAACCAGGCCTGCATAGCACAGCCACATGTAGAAAAAAGCGGCACTACCAGGGATTGAACCCAAGGCTCCTGGGTGCCCCACCCAGGTGCTGTACCAGCTGAGCTGAGCTGAGTTTGAAAAAGCGTTCAAAATAGGCACCTAGCTTAAGGCTGTTCGTGGGTACGGATATTCTACAAATATCCGTGCCGATATCCGCACCCGTGAGCTGCCAATCCACACCCGCGTGATACGCGGATCATGCGGGTGCGGGTCCTCACGGGTGCAGATCAAGCCTACTGGTTCTCCATGGATATCTCCGGATATCCGTACACCCGCCAGGTACGCAAGCGCCCAAGCTCACACAACAGTTATGAGACAGTAACCGATGTATCTATTCGAAGTGACTACTCGACACAACAATGATATACATGTCCATGGTCCGCCGCCCGCGCAATGCATGCCACAACCCCGCTTGAGCCTCGCGCACATACCACAATCACTGTCTCCCCGTATGGCGCACACACGCGCCCATCCGACATCACTGCTCACGTGAGCCCCGAAGACATTATTCACCATGCATCACCGCGACCACGCGCGCGACTCAACGCCAGCGCTCCAACAAAGTCGAAGAGGAGGCCGCATATCGCACCGCGAGGGACTCAGCGTGAGCGCGGCAGCGGCGGGTGTGAGTGCGTGCCGTGACGGCTTCGTCGGCCACGAAACCGGTCCATGGTTGCCTCGTCATCGGACGCCTCCTCAACCTGGGGGTGGCTGCGAGCGTACTCGCGTGATTCTTGGCGCAAGCGGCGCAGAGTGGCGGCATGGGCACGGAGATACTCGCCCCTGGGGTTGAGGGGAAAGGTTGGCGTGTAGAGATTGGCTTGGCGTGCCCACTGGGCCATCTCGAGCCAGGTCCGGGTGCAACGTGCCCCACGGACAGGAGCCCAGGACTCGGAGAAGTTGAGGATGACCTGCAGCAAAATGTTAGACAGTAACGAATAGTGCATCAAGACATACCTCAGGCATTGTGTACAATAGCATGTTCGAGATCCGGTGGATCGCGGGCATGCTGTTCTCCTGTGCTGCGAGGTTCCCAAGCTCGCGCAAGACTATCCCCAGGAAGGTCTCGAAAGGAAGCGGGGCGGTATGCGGCTCTTCATGGGATGTGTACCACGCGAAGGCCTTGATGAGGCGATGTACTTCGGTCGCATCCGGCTCTTTGAGGCACATCTTCAGAGGGGCGTCGTCGACCGCTCGGCGCAGCCAGCCCTCGGGCCATGCCTCTGGTGTGATCGTGCGGGCGGCATCTGTGCACGGGAAGGCAGCCTAGGGGGAATAGAACAGTTTTGTTTTAGAGAGCAGGACAAGCAACGGAAATTTACATACCGTGTAGTCGGTCTCCTGCCCATTCACAACGAGATAGAGCCAGCCTATCTTCTCCCTGGTGAACGGCCGTGTCACCAGGGAGCCAGGTTGGGCGGGGCTTGATCCAGGGTCAATGGGCTCGCAGAATGTGCGGCCAAAGATCTGGTGGCGAGCGCGTGCGGGAAGGAAATGAACGAAACCTTCTCCCCTGTTGGGCAGAAGGTACTCAATGTGATCCGGGATGTGCGCTTCAATGCCTTGACTGGGCTTGACGCGGGGAGGCTGAGGGGGCATGGTGGATCACGCAGAGGGAGAGCGGCGTCGGGCGAGAGGCGTTGGGAGAGAGGGCAGCAGGAAGGCAAAAGACGGGGAGGAGAGCAGGGGAGCGTTCCCACATGGCTGCCTTATGTGACAGGCATGCGCACGCGGGGGCTCAGGTCTCCCTGCTCTGCGCCTGGCAGGTGCACGCACCGCACGCACACAGTACGGCATCCACCAGGCACAGAGCTGATGACCGAGCGGGAGGACGAGCGGATGCGGGCGCGGTGCGGGCACCGCGGACGTCCGAGACGCTGGCGCCCGTGCGTACGGCGTCCCGGTCATTCCGGCCTCCCTTGTTTGGGTTGGTGGCAGTGTTCAGTGGCTGTTGCACCACGCACCACCGAGATAAGATACTGATCTGTGCATGATCACTGCCGATCGTGCACGATCGGTGCAGATCATGCACAGATCGCGCTGATTATTGCCCTCCCCTGCTGCTCTAAGTACGTGCTGGGCAGCAGGGGAGGACGACAGAGAACACGGCCAAGCGCAGGGGCATGCGCGACGCGCGTCATCCGCGGGGCCGTGTGACGCTATCAGCACCTCGGAGGCTTTGCCCAGCTTCCATCACCTGCGCTCGCTCCATCGCCCACACTCGCTCCATCGCCCGCGCTTGCCCCATTGCGGGGTCTATTGGCCTGGGAGCACACCCTGTGCGCTGGCTGCGTTGTCCGACATCACGCGTGCTTGTCTGTGATGCAGGGCAGCACCGTGGCAGCCTCTCTCTCTCTCTCTCCCGTCCCTTTCCTTCTCCCCCCCCCGCCATGCATACAGTCTCGCGGTGGGGACCCAGCCCCCGAACATCCGGAGACAACGTCACCGTCGCGCGTCCCCCCACGTGCTAAGCGCCGCAAGGGGAAGTCAGTCAGGTACGTCAATATATTCCCTGGCTAGCCCCAACGGTGTGTATAGCTAAACGCGTGCGCATTTGCAGCCGCTCGCCCAAGCCGCATGCTAACACCGCGAAACAGCGCGCCATTTCGATCGACTCTGGGTCAAGCTCAGACGACTCAGATGGGTCTCCTCCTCCAACCAAACCGAAGATGTCAAAAACCGACAGGAAGGGCGGAGGCGGCATCAAGAAGCGTGGCATGACTGCGAAGGAGGTCCGCGTTCAATTTGACAAGACATACATGGGCTGGACGCACGAGGATATTCTCGGTCAGTGTTCTTCAACCTTGTCATCTGTATGCGCCGTGCATGCGCTAACATTGTTGCTCAGAGGATGTGATGAAGAGCTGGGGCACTGAGAAGCCTGGCACAGTCTACGCTCACTTCAAGCTGCCCCCCGAGATCGTCGACGATAAGCGGAACCCTGGACGCAAGACGTATCGCTTCAAGTGCAAACTGTATGTATTACTTTCGGTGTAAGCATAGTATTGACTTATGGGTCCTGGCTCACCAATATTTGGTTCAATAGTCACTCCTCCACTCACGTGCACCGACCACCATATGAGAACAGCACTGGCAACCTCAAGCGCCATGTCGATGAGTGTACACCATCGGATACGGCCGAGTCGAAGTCCATCAAGAACTTCACCTCTGGTTCAACGTATACGCCCGCACGCATGCGATTCTTGTGTGCGATGTGGTCATCTCGTCGCAACCGGCCTTTCCTCATCTTCGAGGATCCGGAGCTGAACGAGATAATCAAGATGTGCAACAGTCAGGCGACGTTACCATCCCGCCAGACCGTATCGCTCGATATCCGCGATATTCACGTTGAGGTCGAGCATCGGGTCATTGAACGTCTCAAGGTACGTCCGTATTGCTGCGCTTCATATCTGACGTTGACCTCTCTCTCACAATCGTTCACGCACAGGCTCTTGAAGGATCAATCCACATCTGCTTTGATGGCTGGACATCCCCTAATGTGATCTCTTACCTAGGGATCACCGCGCACTGGCACGAGTCCGGCCGGATCGCGCACATCATCCTGGACTTTGTGAAGTACATTGTTTACACTTTCTTTATTTCTGCTCGTATTGACATCCCGTTGCAGGCTCACGGAATCGCACATGGCCGTCTACTTGCTCAAGAAGCTGGAGAAATGTCTTCTTCGGTTTGGTATCCTCAAGAAGGTCATCGCTGTCGTCTGCGACAATGCGGAGGTCAACGTCAAGATGATGAAACTCTTTCAAGAACAACACCCTGACCTCCGGATTGGTTTTGGACACATCCGCTGCTTTGGACACGTCCTGAATCTTGTTGTTAAGGTATGTCCCTACATCCCGCTGTGTTGAATCAGTGTAATTGCACGCGATCACACTCTGCGGTCGCGTGCGATCACACTCTACGTTCGCGCAGTCCAACGCACGGTTGTATGGTCACGCGCGATCGTGCGCGATCGGGCGTGATCACTGGGCGCGATCTGGGTGAGAGCAATTGTGTGTGGTTGCAGGTACAGTGTGATTGTGGGTGTGCAGTGGTACGCACTGTGCACACTCTCTGTGCGCGAGTATATATATCCTCTCCTGACCTCCATTGCTAACTCTCTGTCCCGTCAGGCTGCGCTCAAGCCTTTCATGAAGTGTCGTCTTCCCAAGGACACAAAAGACGCTCTCAAGGAGAAAAGCGCAAAGAAGTCCCGCCAACATGTGCGCGTCCTCGAGGAGGATGATCTGGAGGATGAGCCGTATGACGCGGAGGCAGAGGCAGGGAGTGACGACGAGTTGTCAGACATCTCCGTCAACTCTGACTCTGAGGAAGACGACGAAGAGCCTGACACCGCACGTGAGGAGGCTGACGCGGATGAGCTTGAAGAGCTCTTCGCCCGCATTCTGGACGATGAGACTGCCGCTGTCTGCACTCCCAGGGACCTCGCGCTCGCTCGATCGGCTCTTCACAAGGTATGTCTTTGCATGCACATGTTACAGGTTACTCACCCGTTGCTTGGTAGATCATGCAGCTCTCTGTGAAGGTCTGGCACCACCCTCAGGTGCGTGCAGCCCTTGAGAAGCTCGCGCGCGACAAGAAGCTACACGCGCACGTTCTCATTCGCTCGGTCAAGACACGCTGGGGCTCGATCACCGCAGTCTTGAAGCGTGCCCTCGACATGCGGCCTGTGATCAACCTGCTCTGTGACAAATGGGAGTTCAACCGTAGGAAGACGCTGCGCTTGCGCAAATACATCATCACCGACCCCGAATGGAAGATTCTTGGCGAGCTGTACACCCTCCTCGCGGTGAGTTCATTCGTTGTCTGTCCTCCGCTCTTACTCACTGTTAATGTAGCTGTTTGTTAAGGCCACGGAGCGCGCCTCCAGGAGCACCCACCCTGTGCTCCACGATGTTGTACCGGCGATCAATGTACTAACCGGCCATCTTGAGAACTGGGCCCTGACGCAGGTGTGCCATCCCGCTGTGAAGCGCGGAGCGGTCCTTGCCCGCGAGATCCTGAACAAGTACTACAGCAAGACGGACGATACTCCATTGTATCGGATTGCTATGAGTATGTATCCCCAGTCGGTGATCTCAGCCCTGACCATGGCACTGACTAACATATCCGATTTCGCACATAGTTCTCCATCCGCGTCACAAGCTCACCTACTTCCTGCAGGCAGGCTGGATCGATTCGTGGATCGTCGAGGCTCGACGTCTCGTTATGCACGCCTGGACGACTTACTACAAGCCTACTGAAGCCCCTGCGGTAGCCGTGCCATCGCGTGATGAGTCTCCGGAGCCTGGCGCTCTCAGCCTTACTGCCCAGACCGACGCGCTCATTGATCAGGTACGCATTGTCCTCACAGTCCACTTCTGCCTCCTATGTGCTATCTGAACTGACACGTGTATCATTCACAGATGTTCGCCAACCTTGGGTCCACGCGCGAGCCTGAGACGAGCATTGACGCACTCCAAGAGTACCTCGATGCGCCGGTCAAGCCCAGTGTCAATGATCCACTTGAGTACTGGAACGTGTTGCTGCACACCGGCTCGGCTCAAGACCGTGCGCTCGCCCGCATGGCACTAGATTATCTTAGTGCTCCCGGTGTGTGCATTGCGCTGCCCCAGTACTATCCTATGCTGATGTTTCAATACCGACCTTAGGTACCTCGACAGACGCTGAGCGCGCGTTTTCGCGAGGTCGTCTGACAGTGTCGCGACTGCGTCACTCTCTTGGTAACCAATCCGTCCGGGCGAATGTTGTCCTTGGGTCGTGGGCGAAGGTACCAGGCCTTGTCGAGGAGAAGGAGGTTATCAACTTCATCAAGGACAAGAAGGGAGCACGAGAGGCTCACGAGGCTTTGGTTGTCAAATGACCGTCGTAGTTCACTGTTGTATGTATACTAGTTGATATCCTTCATAGTTCCTTCGCGCAGAGCTCCTGTGTGCACGTATACCACATGCGCTCTACCCTCTGAAAAACTACATGAGCACACTGCGGCGTGCGCCAGTGCGCCTGCGCCTCCGGCGCTGCGCGGCGCCGCACAGCGAAGTAGTAATAAGTATACCATACATCAATGTGCGTGTGCAGCCACCAGCACGGCGCGCGTGTCACTGCGTCTTTCACCGTGCTTCTGACCTGAGAGATATCTGCCAATCTGACGGATATCTCTGCATACCCGTCCCTTGCAGCTCTACCCACGGATAGATCACATGTGAATATCCGCTGATCTGGCGGATATCCGTGCAAATCTGTCCTTCACGGATCAACCCGCGGATGTATCCGTCATCCGCGGGTCCGGCTCTTGCGGATCCGGATCGTACATGCACGGATCATGTGCAGTTCCAGATCAGGGTGTCAGAACACGCATGATCCGCAGGTAGAGCCGCGAACAGCCTTAACCTAGCTGCACTTTCAGCCACTGTGGCAGCTGTGGCAGGGAAAGAAGGGGGAAAATAGTGGCAAACAGTGTCCATATATGGTGGAGAGGCATGAGAGAGGCAGCTGACAAAGATTGGGCAGCACAGCCCCACCAAAAGAGGATGGATTGCAGCCAGGGCTTGTGGATGACAATTTTAGGTGGCTGGGTGTGACTTGCAGTAGCTGGCAGTGGTGGCTGTGGCTGAGAGCGAAAATAGGCGCCCAGTAGCGCTGATATGCGTTGGGTGGCCACTCCCAGGGCATAAACATGCTGTTATGGGCTCAAAGCATACAAAATGATAAAACAAAGTACATAGATCAGGTGGGCAGTGCTACTAGTAAGGCTGTTTGCAGCTCCGGCTCACTTCGCGGGTAAACCCGCAATGATCCGGAGCCGTGAGCCAGGGATCATGAGCCGGGCGGCTCCAGCTCTCTGCGGCTCTGGCTCCCAGCGGCTCCGGATCGAAGGGGCTGAAATTTGGCGGATCTGCGGCTCGATCCATGGATTATCCGCAGGTTCTTGAGTAAAAGCTCATATTTGTAATTATGTACTACAAAACCTATACTGTTCGAAAGCCGTTTGAAGCATCTTTATAACGATATTATTCTCGTGTGATTTGGCAAAGAATTGACCGAGTAATAGACAAAACATGACCTACGTTCACTTCGAGTGCATTTGGCGCCCGTGTCTGGCGTCTGCACGCGGGAATCCGTCCAGATCGGGCAATGTTCGGACTCGAACGCAGCGTCTCGCGCGTCGCTTGCCCGTCTTCATTCAGAGTCCTCCTCTCCAGTCTATCCTCGCTCATCCTCTACCCTCCATCCATGCTGCGTCGTCGCGTGCGCGCGGCCGTCCTCAAGCCCAGGAGTTGTTTTGTGGGCTCGCGGTGAGCTCCCGCGCCCCCGATCTCCGACTCTGGTGAGTTGCTCCACGCGCGTCCTAGCTTGCGCTCACGCTCGTCCCGCACTCGTCCACCACCTCACCTCGGGCCTATCCGTCTTGCCACATTGCCACCCCCCGGCGAGCCCTCGTCCTCTGCCCACGCTGCCCTCCGCTTCACGCCCCTGCCCTCCGCTTCATCACCCGGATCCGCCTCACATCCGCCACGCGTCTCCCGCATCTTCCGGCACGCCCGCGTCGCTCTTGCCCTCGCCCGCGTCCCCCACGTCCCTCGCCTGCCCCGCGCGTGTCGTCTGATCCTTCGTCCACTCGGCGCCATCGCGCTCGCGCGCCTGGCCGTTGTGGTGAGCTCCTGCAGCCTCCTCTGGTGAGTACTTAAGTTCTTCCCGCCCCTTCTGCTCCCGCGTCCCCTTCCCCTCCTAGGTTGCCCCTCTCGCGCTCGCGCTCGTCCGCCTCGCCTTCTCTGCCTCGCCCTCGCCCATCTTGCCCCCACATCGCCCGCGCGGCCTTGTCCACGTCCGCCCGCGTCGCCCATCACGCCGTCCCCCGCACTCATAGCCCCACGCATCGCCTACCGTCCCCCGCCTGCCCGCGTCGCCCGACCAACATCGCCAGCGTCTGCCCATCCTCCATCCACGCGGCATCATCGCGCTCGCACGCGCGGCCGTTCGGTGGGATTGCGGTGAGCTCCCACGGTCCCGATCTCCCCCAAGTGAGTACTTACTCCCCTGCCCCCTCTGCTTCCCGCATCCCCCAACCTCCGCTGACTCGCCCCCTCGTCCTCATCCTCGCCCATGTTGCTCCCTACCTCGCCCCGTCGCCCACTATGCCCTCTTTCCCCCGCATCTCCCGCATCGCCCACCCACAGCGTCCGCGCCGTCCGCGCCGTCCGCGCCTCCGCCCTCCCTCCTTCACGTGTCCGCCCTCCCGCCTTCACCCTCGCCCACGTCGCCTGCCTCGCCCTCGTCCGCGTCGTCCTCGCCCACCTCGCTGCCGTCACGCTCTCCACACCTGCGCCCTGCGCCCTCCGCATTCTCCACCCTGGCGTCGTCCACCCCGGCGTCGTCCACCCCCTGTGTTCCCTGTTTCTCCTGCTCGTCCTCGCCCACCGCGTTCTCGCGTCCTCCGCGTCCGCGTCCTTCCGCCCTCCGTCCCCCCGCCCGTGCCCTCGCGCCCTCATCCTGTGACCACCGTGTCACCCTTGCCCGCGTCACCTTTGCCCGCGTCGCCAATGTCGCCCGCATCGTCTCACGCGCCCACCACGTTCTCGCCCGCGTGTCACGCCGCGTCGACCGTGTCGCGCCCACGTCGACCGCTGCACCTCATCCGCCTCACCCCTGTGCATCTCCCTTGTCACCCTCGTCCACGTCGCCCACGTCGCCCACGTCGCCCACCTCACCCACGTCGCCCACCTCACCCGCATCGTCCGCGCCGCCGGCATCTCCCTCATGTCACCCATGTCTCACCCCACGTTGCCCACGACCTGCCCCCGCCTCACCTCATCCATCTCGCCCGTGTTGCCCACCACACCTCAACCCCCATCATCCATTGTCGCCCCTCCCACATTGTAGTTGTATGTCTGTAGCTACTAGTACAACTACTGAATGTATTTAGAGTAGTGTTTCTGTCAATGGAATCGCCCTCTTCTTGATTCTAATGACTGTGGATGCAATATTATACTTTTAAACAGCACATCTGGGTGAAATGATCCGCAAAAGCACCTGAGCCGCACCGAGCCACAGAGTGCGGCTTGTTTGGCGGCTTGATCCGCGGATTGCGGGTCCAGATCGCGTGGCTCCGGCTCTTCCAGTGGCTCTGATCCATGCGGATCTGGATCAAGCCCCCGGAAGTCACCTGATCCGTGGGTTCGGATCCGGATCATCCGTGGGTGGAGCCGCAAACAGCCTTAGCTACTAGTGCCTACCTACCAAAAATGAAGCAAATCTGACCATGGGAAAGGGATGGATGGCACGCAAGGCTTGTGGATGTAGCAGTGCCGTGGGCGCCTATGAAATAGACGCCCGTGAGCGCTGTGCCAACCCACACCATCAGTATGTGTACAGGGGGATGAAAAATGCGAAGTGGGGGATAAATGGGGGGTCTACAGAAAGAGCACACACCTGGGAGCAATCTGGCAGTGTTCTGAGAGTGATAGAGAATAGGAAGGGAGGCATAGTGACGTCAAAGTACCATGGTAATGAGCAACTAGACAAACAACACTTACCTAGTACCTATAAACACTGAAAACTTACTAGAGAGTTGAAGAGAGTGCTGAATCCATCTCACACAGAACTCGGTCTGTGCTCCAACGACCCGGCCACCCAAAATGGCAATGTCGCAGGCATCCCAGGCTCAAGACCACCGCTCTAAATCGGTGCACCGAGTAGGCATGGTACAGAAGCACAGGGACTGTGGGGGGGGGCATCCTCCCACTCATGAGCGCTGACTTTGGCTAAAAGCCAGGCTACAGAGGTGAAGGGTGGATGAGAGTCCCCCAAGAGAGGAGGAGCAGTGGCAGGAGCAATGAGAGTTCGCGCTGCTGGCGCTTATGTAACAGTTTTCTCACACACCTTATTAGGAAACTGCATATAGGAACATTGCTTACACTCTCTATTGCTCATTTCTTGTCCGTTTCTTATGATATAAACTATGACAAGTACGTCTTCAAAGTGGCGTTTGAATGGTGTATGTTACATAAGCATATTCCCAGGCACAGCACTATAACCCAGTCAACACTGCCAAGCAGTAGTTGCTACAGTATAGCAGCTGCAAAGCACAATACATAACATAACATATACTGTCTTGTAGCCCTTCGAGGAGGTGTTCTAATACATCTACATATGTAGTGATTGAATCAGAAACAAGCCTATAATCAGCCATATACATTACATATAGTGCTGCAGCAGTGTTACTCAAACCATTCCATCGCATCTGCTTTCAGAATCACATAACATAACCTATTAGATCTCTCTCATCAGTGCGCATCAAACGCACTCAAGGCCATCTGAAACGGACATCATCTGAGCTCATACCAATAGTTACAACATATGAAGCATATGTCATTGACCTTGTAGTGCTTCCAACACTGCATTGATATGAGCGCTTTGTTGACATCTAGACTGGCTGCTATGTGGACTAGGTTCACGAATATAATCAACATTATAGGGAATTGATCTGATTTACTAGTAGGCAGGCATAGGTGCAATGGGCAGAGACAGGGTGATACAGCCGCTGGGCGTCTAATAACTTACGGAAGCCTAACTTTTCTGAAAGCAGCCCTTCAAAATTCAAATCAATGTCTATAAATCTTGAGTATATTCATAGTAGTAGTCCACATAGAGTCTGACTGAAGCCCCCAAAGAGTGCCCATCTCAGTCTAGTTAAATAGGTATAGACACTAACAGGCACTACAAAGTGTATCAGGGAGTGAAGCCCTGGGCCTAGGTGGCAGTGCGAACCCAGCGCTAGTGGAACCCTACAGGGGGACCCTAGCCCAGAGCTAGGGTGATGGGAGTAAGTAGCAAACCTATGTGTGGGAAGTGGCTGTGCTAGTGAAGAGTAATACGAGTCTGAAATTTTATTCCCACGGGTTGCACTAAGGGTGTCACGCGTCGCAGCCAGAGCCCACCCTATAAAGAACGATTCATTCGTACCTCATGAATCGTAACTGCTCAGAGGTTGTGGGGCGTGAACGTAGCCTCACCAAGGTGTTCGGAGCATCCCTGATCAGTACCAGTCACTGCTCAGAGGTTGTGGGGCGTGAACGTAGCCTCACCAAGGTGTTCTGTTAAGGTACGGGCGCGCAGGGCGCGCACGTGCCGGATTTCGGTGCCGGAGTTCGGCGTACCGGCCGAATTTCGGCCACACTGCGAGCAGGGCTCGGGCGTCTTGACTTCGGCGAAGTATTTCGCCGAACTTCGGCCATCAGATTGGGCGATCTGAGACCATACGGACCCTTATGTACTCTACGCGCGTCCCACGGACGCCAGCTTACCTCCACCCGCACTACCGCTGTATTCGTTACCTCAATCGAAGGTTTGGACGAGTCTGGCACCGGTGTGATCGTGATATTGTCATTTTACATCTTTTTTGACTCCCCGCTACCTCTAGACGAGGTCTACTGAATACTATGAGTCACAGGTCGCCCCAACAAGACCATTTCGGCGCGTCGTCATCGTCTGCAGCCCTCGATATGACTGCAGGCGCGACACGCAGCCGTCCCTACACCCCAATCCCGTCTCGCCCTTCGAGCTCAACACTTGCACGCGGCGAAACATCACAATCGCCACGTTCGCATGCTCCCAGCGACGACGACACAACATATCGCCCATCTGCCCGAGTGCGCGACGCCGGAGTGCCTATCACAATGCCTCCGACGCCGACCCCTCGGGCCTCAACATCAACAGGAGTACGTGGATTCGGTGAGTATCCCATTGCTGCACCTTCCCCGCGGCGAGATGCCTCCTACTCTATGTACCACGACTTGATTATGTCGAGTGCGCAGGCCGGGCCATCAGCGGACCCTCGACGGTTCGCTGAAGACTCACCTGCCGAGCGTGCGTATGCCGCACGCCCTGCCGTCGAAAATACCCAGGCGGAATTAATGCAACACCGCAACCGCCTGGTGTCAATTTCGGCACGATTGGACGCGTTCCACCGTGATCTTGGCGCCGAAATTCACGACGCCATGTCACGTACGAACCGTGTTCTTGGAAACGCAACCAGCGCGCTGCTGGACGTCGACGGGGTAATCAGTAGAAATAAATTTATTGAACAACTGCCCTACCGAAGCCCAGCTACGATCGCGCACGAACTGGAACGTGAGCGAGAGCAGGTAGCACGCGAGCAAGAGAATCGTGTGCTCCGCTCCACGCTCCACACTATGCATGAACAGGACCCACTGCGGCCAGCAACACCAATTGCTGAGCGGCCGCCGTCCCAGATTGACGAAAGGAGCCATGCAACACATGAGAGTGGCCGAACTTCGCATAGCTCTGTGATAGAAGGCTCTGCCTCTCATAAAAGCCGGCGAAGTGCGGCTGCACCCACGTATAATGCTCCCCAACCGCTGCCTGACAGTGATAGCGAAATTCGGAGGCAACAGCCACCGCATTTCGCTCTTGCGAGCCAGGACGCGCGAAGGTATGCACAACCGGAAGTTCCTGTACGTGCTCCCTCACCTGAGGATCGCTACCGTGACTACCGGTCCACGTATACGCAAATTCTGGATCAGCAACATGAGGACGCGAAGCAACAGCTGCGATTCGAAGCTGAGCAATCACGTCCAACGTACGACCGCAATGCGGCAAGCAATGCGTGGTTCGCAAAGGCATCGAGCACACTGTATGCTCCTGGCCTAAGTGCAAGCCGTGCACCGTACCCCGCAATCACAAGAAACCATGCGCCTAGTGGTTACTACTATCAGGGACAACCTGTGCAAGTAGTACCCTCTGCGCATGTGTCTGCACCCACGCCGAATTCACAATTGCCTGGCACACAGCACCTTGATGTGCTGATGCGGCGAATTGTGGAGAACATCCGCTTTAAAGTCGGCGGACGCAGCATTCCGCTGCCTCAGGGTGCAAAGCAGCCGAAACCGGACATGCCAGACAAGTACGGTGGTGAAGATGACCACCAGAAATTTGTGCTCTGGCTGGACGGATTCCTGAATTGGCTCAGGGCGTACAACTTGTGCGGCCCTGATGCTGATGAACATTGTTCGCGGCAAATTCGGCCATGCCTTGAAGGACGAGCGATTGACTGGTGGACCCAGTCAATAGACCGCCCTGGCGTACCACATCTGTCGTTTGAAGAGATCATCTGCAAGATGCACACGCACTTTGTGCACTCCAGTACGGCCACGAAAGCAACCGAGGAGTTCGCAAAGTGTATGTACTCGCATCGGAAGGGTGTACTCACATTTGCCTCGGATCTCCAACGCCGTGCAGGCGAAATGATCGAACACCCCACAGACTACGAGATGAAGCTCCGTCTGTTCCATGGGTTGCCCGAAAATATTCGCACTCACCTGGGCGTGAACCGGAGCATCAACCCTGAGTACAACTCATGGCTCGACATTGTCGAGAATGCACGACAGCTTGAAGAGTCCCTGGGGGTGGTTAGTTTGGCGCCGCGTACGGGAACGTATGGTGCGGCGTCCAGCACACCATCGTCAAAGGATGACCGCAGCAGTCGTGAAGGCCACAAGCCGAACCACCAGCAGGATCGCCGTGATGGAGACCGCGGCCGAACGCAATCGCGCGACCGCAGCCACCAAAATCATGGTAACAAGTCAGCGAGCCAAGGATCACGCCGAAATTTCTCAAATAATCGACATGATCACTCGAGCTCAAAGCGTGAGCATTCCACTGGAGCAGGAGGACGTCCATCTACTCCAGGTGTGAAAGCCGCCGAAAATGCGTGCTTTGCTTGCGGAAAGACAGGTCACTATATGCGTGA